TCTATTAATTTTGGAATAAATGGACTGTTAAGTTTAAGAGGCATATAGAGCATAACATTTCAGTAACGCAGAATAAAGACTCGTTGACTCGAAAGGTCCACCACTTACCTGCAATATACAATGATCCACACCAAAAACTAAACATGGAACTGTTATCCCTAAAGAACTATGAATTATAAGGTATCCCATAGGACCTTCTAGAAGGCTGGCGGTTCAAACCCACCAGCCACTCCTCAGAAGGAAGACTGGGCAATCTACTTCTGTAGAGATACTGCCTCGGAAACCCAAGGAGGGGTTGCTGTGCATCGAACAGACTCATGTAAAGAATACCATCAATAAAATAAGCAGACTTCTAGAAATATAACTCAGCAAAATGATGTTCCCTGATGATCCATGAGTACCATAAAATTATCTACTAAAACTGATAACAGCTACTTAATGATGCTCATTTAACAGACCCAAACTTGAAGACCAGCTTTTAGTAACAAAACTGGGAATATATCAGAGTGACAAAGCAGTCATTTCAAGTGCAAATGAATTTAAGTTTGTACATTCTAAAGGAACAGTGCTAAAAGATGGCAGAAGAGAAGAGAGTAAGAGGTAAAGAAAGAAAATCTAACATTGCAATGGCAACTAAACTCCAACAAGTTCTATCATCAGATTATGAGTGCAGCCTGACACACTGCAGAACCTGATTTGTATGAGTGTGTGGGGTGGGGAGAGGTGACACAGGATGACGAGAGAGTGGAATTTGAAGAACCATCAAACTGAGTGACTTACAGCTCTCAGAAGAATAATGAACTGCACTAGCATTTTTTTTGTTTTTTTTTCAGAAGTGGAAAACTATTCTCAGATGAGCTCCAGAGGACAGTTTTCCCAGGCCACTCAGCAGAAGTGGAGGCCCTTTCTATCATAGCATCTCGAAGAACCTGACTTTGAGAGTGATGCCCTACCTAGCATACAGATAAGCCCACCAACACTGTTGATCAAAGGAGCAACAAATACCACTGTCAAGGCATCCCATGGGCTCTTCTTAATGCATCCTCTTGAATGGTATTCAGGGAGAGGACATGACTCATAGGCACTGGTGTACTCAGTGCAAAATCAAAAAATCCTTTATGGCCACAGAAAATAAGGTGAGTAACGGTTAGGAAAAGGCCCCTCCTCTCAACAAGCCATGCCAGCTATAAGCAGCATCACAGTTATTCCATAACTTAGTATCTTCCACTTACAAGTTACCTTGGTACTTTCATTATAGAAACTAAATAAAAACTAAATGTAAAATACATACACACTCAAAGAGATGGCCATATTAACTTTAATGTTTTAATGTCTATACTCTTTAGGGCAGTAAGGTTGGACCCCTTAGGCTTCTATCATAATGCCAGGTTCACCTTGGGGTTCTCTGAGCATTAACTGAGCAGGTCTACATGAAGCACAAATTAACAGCACAATAAACGTCAGCTACATTATTACTGTCATCTAATTCTGGTGCGTCTCAGTATAAACAACATATATTTTGCAAAATGGCAGAAAGAAGCAGGCAGGAGTAAGAACTGAAAAGAAGAGGATTAATGGTGCTCTTTTCATTTTCCCAAGAGCAGAGAATGGGTTTAATACGTTGCTTCAGCATCTTTCCACCAATGAACTTAGTTTAAATGGTGGAGTCAAATGTCTGCTGAAGACTAAACTGGCATAATAATGATTTTTATAAAAACACTGTAATACTAAAAAGCAAGTTCAACTTCATCAGCTGAAAAATTAAATTTTACATATAATGTTGGCTGTAGAGTGAACTTTGGAAGAGAGAATTCTCTTCTCAGTGATGGAGCCACCATGAAGTCAGGAAACTACTGAACAACAGAAAGGAAAGTATCTGGTGAGGAAGAGGTTGAGCTGACAGCCAACTCAACGTCCACTTGTTGGAGGAATCACAGGTGAACAGTGTTCAACAGATGACTTGCTATAAGGTTCTGGTTTGGAAAATGAGCTAGTGCACTTACTCCAGTGAAATAAAATTGTATACTGAAAATTATATTCAAAGACAGAATTATTTGTTAAATTATATTTATACTATGATTTTTTTTTTAATATATAGCTACATTAAATATTTCAACATAGATACACTTTAGGGGGCTTAGCTTTTACTTCAAATGATGTGATCATATTGTAACAAATTGACCTGCCTGACTTGAAAATTCTAAATTGTTTGGCCCAAAAGAAGCCACTGCAGAAGTGTGCTCTGTGAATGACTTTCACTGGATCAACTTTCTGGATTATCTGCTGTTCTCCATTCCCTCTGAAAATCATGCTGACGAATGTCCAATGTCCAAATGGTCTGGGCTAGCAGGCAATCTCTAGTGCCACACACACACACACTTTCTGCTTCCACCAGCTGGACTGCATGCTGACAAGAGTCAACTGTGTCATCCCAGACCTGTGTATGCCAGTGGACTTGTTATTATAAAATTTAATTAAATATTATGAAAGCTGATGAAATATGACACAAAGGATGTACTGTTTCTATGAAAACTAAATTGAAGACACTGGAAAGAATAAAGACAAGCTACTTGAAAGGAAGCGGTAGGATTAGATGTTGGCAAACAACATAAAACGAGGGAAAAAATGCATGAAATCTAAGAATCTGTACTCAGGTTGCCTTGCTAGTGTCTATGGTTCTGCTCTTGTAATTTACACTATTAATACAAAGTAAAATTCAAAATGGAGGAATCGCTGTCAAGGAAATATCCCTGGCTTCAGTTTAGTAAACATATTTTTATATGTTGTAATGAAAGTAAAATTTAAAAAAAAAATTTTTTTTTTTTAAAGATATCTTGCTTTAAGTGATATATTCAGTTAAGTAGTTCCAATCATGTTGAGTAAGAGGGTTTTTTCCCATGCTTCAAAATAAGAACTACTTTGGATTAGTGGCTTTTAAATTTATGAGGTTTTATGACCTAGGTAGATTACTCTGGAATATACATGCTCAAATTTTTATTCCCATACCTTTGAAAGATAAACAAATCTCTACCACACATAATGCTGAAAATGCACCCCTTCCTTTTAGTCTTAATACAGCAGAGCACACAGCAGAGGGGTTCAGAGTAAGGACTCTGGTCACAAAGACCACAGATGGAATCCCGGTTCCTCATTTACTAGCTCCAGGACAACCTATCACTTAACTACTTACGCCGTAGTTTTCTCATCTGAAAAACGGGATTAGTAATAGTATCTACCACAGTGGGCATTGAGAAGTTGAGATAAGAAAATGCGTATCATGTCAAATGCTTAGCACAGTGTCTGGTTATCTAACAAGTGTTCAAAAATATTTATTTTAGTATTATTATAATGCCTAATAGGAAAAAAGTGTCCCTACTACACAAATCAGGTTATAACTAATATCTACTCTCTTATATTTGATTCAATGTCAGTGTCAGTTTTTAGCAAGACAGCCTCAAGCTACAGACAGCTCAAAAGCCTCATGGAAAACTGCCCCAGGTACAGTCAAACAGTAGTTCTCTGCTAGGGGGTAATTTGACTAACTAGAAGGCACTTGCAATGTCTAGAGACATTCTGGGTTGTAAAAACTGAGGGAGAGGGAGTTACTGGCAGACAGTGGGTGGAGGCCAAGGATGATGCTAAATATCCTATAATGCACCGGATACCTCCACACAATAAAGACTCATCTAGTCCCAAATGCCAGGAGTGCTAAGGTTGGAAAACCCTGGGTCCTAATGGACAGTGTAAGAAAGAAGTGATTTCTAAACTCGGAACTCCAGAAAATGATTCTGAAAAAATAAGGATTGCTTAAAAATGAAATTGGGATTTTTTATTATCAATATTTAGGAATATGACATGGATATTTATGAACAAGACAAGATTCTTTTGGTCACTGAATTCTCATGATGGGATTCATCATTTAATAATCTAAAGATAAACATTACCCTTTAGTGAACAATGCCATGAAGTTATAATGGCTACCAGATATAAACTAAATTTTATTTCGAATATATCTAAATAAGACCCAAAATCCGAGAATGGTAGTTGGGAAATTGAAACATTGCTTGAGGAGTCTGTAAAGAGAGAGCCTCTCATCACAGTTCTCTTTACCTGGCTGCAAAGATGACTAATGTAGCTAATAATGGACTACAGGTGTGTGTCCTTCCTGGGCAATCATCTTGTTTTCTAGCATGGGTACCTGTATGACCTAAATTCATTTCTCAATTAATAGCACTCCTCAACACCACCATTAGAAAGCACTTACAAGTATATTTATGCTGCTTTTAAAATAAATCACAAGGGCCTCATAAAGTGTGAGATAAAACTACAGATAAAGTATAATCTCAAGAACATATGTACATATTTTTCCCATAAAGACAACAAAGGAAGCCTTTTCTACTCAACTTGGAAAGACCTTTATTTATTTATTTATTTTGCTCTGAAATGACTTGTCTGTGACTTGGGTTAAATAACGTAATTAACTTTCACAAAAAATTCTTGTGAAAGGTATAGGAATGTGTATTATAAGCCCCATATACCGATGAAAACTGAGGTGAAAAAGAAACTGTCCTGCACTAACTGTGAAAGTAATAAATAGATGAGAGGTAATATTAAAATTGTTTCCTTTTCCTTAAAAGAACAGCTATTTTAAAAATATTTTCAAGTTTATACTTTCAAATGACTAAAGACATCTATCCTTAAGGATAAAGTAAGTCTAGACAATAGAGATGATAATTTTATCCACAGTATCAGTTTTCTTTTAAAAAAAGACACTCATTAATATTTAATACAAGACATTTTTGTATCTGAAAGGGGAAACGTAACCCCTCAAAATGCAAAAAGAAATTAGAGCAAAGAGGTATTTCACTATTTTACCATCAAAAAGATACAGAATTCATGCAAGACTTAGGTCACAATGCAAAAAGACTTAATGGACAGTACTCCACTTTTTTCAGTAAGTACGGCAAAATAAAATTTAAAAGTAAAAGATCTCCACTCACCCTTCTGATAGAAAAATTTCCTGTAATAGTAGGCACCAAGATCCACATGTTCCACAATGTATCTTTTCACTCTATCCAGATGCAATACCAAGTTCTCCTTGGGCACTTCAAGTACTGCCACTCCTGCATTTGTGCAATGGGAGCTGAGGGTGGACTCAAAGGAGGCACTTTCACATCCACTAAAAGAACCAGAATTTGATTTTGACAGGCTGATTTTCCTTTCACCTTCTCCACCGATCTCGTTCCGGAAATATGGACAACTCATCACAAGTTCATTGCTTTTATCATCTCCCTGGTCCATACCAAGGCTTCCTTTGGAATTCAGGTCCTCTGTGCTGCCCATGGGAGAGCTAAAACTGGCTGAATGAGACAAAGGTCCAGAGACCAAGGATGCCACAGCAGCGGCCGAAGCTCCTGTGGTGGTGTTTCTCCTCTTAATAACATTGTGCCTGTTCATAATTGCCTCATTCAAGTCAAATAATATACTCTGGACATCATAGTGCGCAAAGCACTTAGGGCACGTCCAAGGCCTGACAGAGTCTTCTGATCGGTTATCTTCAAGATCTGACGATTTCCCAAGTTCTTCACCTTTGGCATTGCGTAGTTTACGAAAAATGGATGAGTCTCCAGTTTCAGACTTGGAACGTCGCTTGAGTGGTTTTTCCCTTTCCTTGAAGAGCCTGAGGTTCTCCCTCTGTGAGATGGGCCCATCTATAACATCCAAAGAGAAACCAGACCCCTTGGCCCCACCGGCAATGAGAAAGTCACTGAGTTTGGTTGGGGTTGGGCCTCGGTCAGATTTGTCGTCTTTATAGCCCTTTAACAAGTCAAAAAAGCTGTCTCCGGACGTTCCCTGCTTATCAATTGAAGATGTGCTACCATATTCCCTGTGCAGTGATGGTCCAGTCTTGTATGTGGGTGAGATACATTCATCAAAGCTATCCACATCAAGTTCACTTATGGTGATATCACTGTTGCTCCGCTGCCGTATTCTGCGAAGAGCTTTTCTAGGGGAGCTGGGATAGGCTTCAGGCATCAGAAATCTGGAGTCCATGTTCTCCAACGGCCTTGTCTTGTTTTTCAGCGTGTTCTGTATGCTTTTTAACATAGCTGAGTCATTGGAATTGAGGCTAACAGAACTTCCCTGACTCACAGGACTGCTTTTGGAGGACATGCTCTCAAGGCAACTTGAGGTTTCTATTTCCTGGCTTGAACGGCTAGATTCTTTCACATTTTCCTTTCTTGGAGGCCAATCTGCAATCCTTGCCCTAACCCCCATCTTTGGGACTCCAGGGGTTGAGGTTATATGGTGAGGGCCTTCGCTTCGAGGGGGCCCTACAGGCGCCATGACTGAGGATCCTAAACTGCCATTCTGGGACCTGAAGCGTCGCATGTAGAAGTCATCAGTGTGGATTTTGGGAGTGCCATCTGTTCCCACAACAGAGGCCCTTTCAGTGGCAACAGGCCTTTCCGTCTGTGACCGTTTCAAGCTGGTCATGATGTAAAAGTAATTAGACTTCGATGCCTACAGAAAGGACCACCATTATCTGTGCTTTAAATGACTTCCCTTTTGGAGAATGGCTTCTAGAAAATATAACAGTTGCAACAGATCTTAATCTTTTTCATTTAAAAGGTTAAATGTTGCTCTACTTTCAAACCACTGAAAATCCAGATCCTCAAAAGATTGTAATCCACATAGTTCCTTTGCTTCACTTAAATAGATGGCTTTCTTTCAGAAAAAATTGAATGGAACTTGCATTACTGGGACTCTGTGACTGCCATAATCCCATGCTTTCTCTAAAAGAGAGAAGGAGACCATTTGAATTAGCATTTGACAAATACATTTTAAAATACATGTTAAACTGCCAAACTCAGATGCATAAATATAAAAGACTCATAGTGGACTGTGGTTAACAGTTCCACAATCCATATTTCGTAAAGTAGATATGAAAGAAAGGAAAAAAGGAACAGCATTTAATAATATCCATCCCTTCAAATATAAAAAGGAGAAGAAAAAAAGACTACTGAGACTTTAGCTTAATTGAATTGCTTCATAAAACTCAGATGAGGGGGAAGAAAGACATCTTGTTCCAGGACATCAAGGCTCCTACCCCATGCACAGACTTGCTCCAATGACCTCTCATAACGTAGAAGAACATCATGAATCACTGTGCTGCCCAGAAGTTCAAGAAGGAACCAACAGAATGAAACAATTAGAGCAAAGCACAGTCAGTCGTCGTCTTCTTCTTTTTTTTTTTTGATAAAACTCCAAATTAAAAACTGATCTTATTGAATATGTTACAACAGTCACTTTTTAACTTCTCCTATATTTCAAGATCAGTACTTGTTTCGTATTTCCTTACAAAGTCTCAACATAGTTGGCGAGAGCAAAATCAGCAGAAAGAAAATAAACAGGGTTTCCCGGAGCCATCATATCCATTAACACTCTGCTATATTTTCCTCGACTTTATTACTTACCCAGGAGAGGAATATTTCCCAATAAATGCAGCATTCATCACCACCTTTCTCAAGCTCGCCTTAGTTTTGTCTACTCTTAAAGCTCCAGATATTTCACTAATTAACAAAATGCTTGCATTTCCTTTTGCATCGCAATCTACCCCACCCCATCAGCCCTAATTTACCAAGACAGCGGGAACAAAATGCTGCTCTCCAAAGACATCTTCCTCCTCCCCAATAGATTACAGAGAACTGTTAACATCCTTCCAGGTGATGAGCCAAGAAAAGGAACTTCCTCAGGAGCACATCAGTCAGTGGCAGAACAGCACAAATCCCAAGTATAAAATCCTGCATCATTGCGTACATGCTGGAAATAAAAGCAGAGGATCCTTCTCTAAGACTCCACAAATTACACAAGATGTGGCCTTTAAATGCTTGCCAAATCCATGTTTGGAAAGATGCTGCTGAACCAGCACTGCACTGACAGGGCAGCATTGTCTACAAATCACTGCTCTGACACCCCGAGGACACCCCGCACTCGCTTGCTCTCTCCACCCAACAGTAACAAGCACTTACTTCCACAATAATTAAGCATCTCGCTAGTCAGCTTCCTGCCTCCAAGGCAGCCGCTTTAATTTCTCTTGCAGTACACAGCATCATGTTAGAGGACTCGCTGCTATTTATAAGCTGGAACATTTAGGGGTGTTGCAAAAATGCACGCTGCCCGCAGAATGCAGGGCCCGGCAGAGCTCAGGCTGGGCTCAGAGGGCTGCTGGCTGCAGCCTTTCAGATAAACACCAATTGTTTTCGTTCTCGCTCCTCTTCAGCATCTTTTGTTAAAAGGTTCATGGTTGTGCACAGCTACCTAATTAAACCTGACTTGTGAGTTTCCTAGATACTTCTACAGTCAAGTTACTATGATTGCCCTCACATTTCAGAACTTTACATGCTCCTCTTTCAACTGTAAACCTTTAAGTGGAATAGCATGCTAACTGTTGCTTCCAAAGGAGGCACAGGGCAGCACATGTGGTCTGCAGTGAAGGTTCAAGACATAGTCCTCATAAAACAGAAAGAAAAAGAGCCAACTTAATGAAAAATGCAAAGTAAACACCAGTCTATCTACCAAAAAAAAAAAGATCCTTTGACAGCCAAAACCAGAATTTATGAGCTATTCTGTATCTATACACACACAAAGTTGAGTATTTCAAATGAAATCTCTTTCAGAGAGAGACTACTTTACACTAGCATACACAGTAATTCTAAGAAAAGGCTTACAAAACTCAGACTCTTTCAGCATTTCTCACAGTCCTACAGGCATCCAAACAACTCCATTCTCAGAATCTTCATTCTCCAAAGGACCAACACACCAACCCCATGATGATAAAACTCATTCTCGCCACAGTGCATTTCCCTGAGAAGATGACTTATTGCAGACCTGTCTTTTCTAGGATACGTGAGGTTATAGCCAGGAGCTCTGGTGGTGCAGTGATTAAAGCACTTGGCTGCTAAGCAAAAGGTCAGAGGTTGGAACTCACCAGTTGCTCTGCATGAAAAAGATGAGGCAGTGTGCTTGTATAAAGATTTGCAGCCTTGGAAGCCCTAGGAGGCAGTTCTACTCTGTCCTACAGGGTCACTAGGAGTTGTGATGGACTTAATGGCAGTGGGTTGGGTTGGGTTTGGTGGTTATAGCCAGTGTAGGAGGAAAGTGAAACCTGGCACTAAAGCCCAAGGACTATAACTGACTTGGAAATGCTCAGTCACTTCTCTTCAGAATCATCCAATAGGCACCTCATATTTCTAAGGGTTCTTCTTCTAAAACTTATTTTTGAACATAAAAATTTCTTAGCAATGTAAAAGAAATGCCAAGATTCTTATTACATCTAGATTATAGAACCGAATGCTTTCTCTTCATTTCAAAACACAAATGGGACACAGCAAGGAGAGGGAATAGCCACAATTTAATTATCATAAAAAATGAAGAGGTTCAAGACCCTCAACCAAGTCAAAGAACTGACTTTTTCCAGTCGTGGTAACCTTCCTTCCTAGCTTTTCTTTTCCCCCTTCCTTGTCTCCTGCCATCCCCTTTTCTGCCCTCTTATTTGTAATACCAAACCCTTTATACACATTGTAGTATCAACCCAGTGAGAAGGCACATCAGAGCAAAATGAAGCTCTAAAGTGCACCTGTCTCCCATCAGCTATGGCACAAGTCTCAACCAGAGTGCACCAAGGTGGATATGCATTTTTAAATGATCACTAACACTGGAAGCCCGATCCTGGAGGGGGCAAATATATCGTGTTTATTTTAAGAAGATGCATTTATCACCAGGAACTCTGCTCAAAGGAAACATTTAATACCCCTAAATCTAAAGGGACTGGCAAGAATCTAAAAAGAAGGGAAAAGGGTTAAGGTCAAAGTGTGTTTTGGACACAGCAGAAATGAACACATTATTCTTAAAGATAAAAATGCTCACACTCAAAAAGCAGGATTGACTTCTCAATGGTAGGTAAATTAACATTTGTAAGAATTTTAACTTCCCTCTATGGGAGTAACTCCAGAATCCTTTCCAAATTAACTTAATAGGTTTAAATAAAAATTAGCCTTTTTAAGAAGGTGCAGTATTACACTCAAAGCACACACAAAAGAAGGTACTATATAAACTGGTTATTGACTTGCATTTACTAAAAACTATCAGCCAAAAATACAGACGTCCATGTGTGTCATATGATGACAGATCATTTTTAGTACCTTATAACCTATTCCTTAAGGTTGACTGAAATAGCAAACATATGTTGACAATTACTAGCAATTCTCTTAATTATCAGCAAATCTGCCTAGCCATCATTAAATATGGTAAAAAGCAGTAGAATTAAACAGAAGAGCAATACTAATTTACAGCATGTCACCTCCATCTGTTGGAAATTTCCCTGTTACATGTTTGAGTCGATGGATCTAGGTACTATTGAAATCCATGACAGATTCTTCTTCTTTTTTTTTTTTTTAATATTTATTTATTTATATTTATTTTTATTTGGATGAAGATTTACAGAGCAAATTCACTTTCCATATAGCAGTTCACATATACTTTGTCTCATGTCATTGACCAGTTTACCACAGTGCAACAGCTCCCCTCCCACTTCCTCCCCATAGTTACTTCTTCCCAGTGACCATCCCTCCATACTCTCCTGCGCCCTGAGCTGTCTCCCTGTGCATAAGCAGCCCTTCCTTCTCCCATGATTGTTCTCTCCCGGGCGTGTGTCTACTTGAGGTAAATGTTTAACTCACATGCCTGTACTTTGTTTGGCTGGCAACCACAGGTGTGGCTTCAATTCCAGACCTGAAGGGCAGCTAGGGGCCATAGTCTCAGTGGTTCCACCAGGCTCTGTTGGACCAGCAAACCTGGTCCTCACCTTCTCTTTTTTTTTCTCTCCCTCCAAATGATTTTGAATTTTGTTCCACATTGTTCTCCCTCTCTATCCAGGATTTCCTACATCCCTTCCAAGTAGATGACAGTGGTAGCCGGGCACCATCTAGTTCTGGTCTCATAGTTGTACAGGTTGCAGATCGGATGGTGTACCAGTCACTAGGACTGATTGTTTCCATTAATTTTGGTTTTCTTCTTTCTTCTTTGCTCTTGATGAGGAGAGACCCATCGTTGCATCTAGATGGCAGCTTGCTAGCTTTTAAGATCCTGGTCACTACTCGCCAAAGTAGGAGGTGGAACAATGTTTTATATAGCATGTTATGCCAATTGAGCTTGATGTCCCCTGCGACTATGGTCCCAAGCCCGCAGGTTCAACTAGTCGGTTCCTCTGGGTAGCTGGCTGTGACCAAACAGTGACCACAACCTTGCCCCTTGTCAGCTCTACTACACACCTGGGAATTCTGATCATTCATTTAAACTTATAGGACCATTGTCTGCCCACCCTATATATATATGTGATCTTGGATACACTCCCCATTTCATAGACATAATCGTTTAGCTTGTCCACCTATCTATCCGCATGACAGATTCTTTGAGCTAGCATACCAGTCGCATCTAGAGATACCATGGTTTACTTCAATGAGTTCCTTTTCCTGTCAGAACACATGACAATTGGTTCAAATGCTATTAGTTGAAAGTCCTTCCATCACTCAAGGTCTGTCACAATGTAACATATCACTACCCTTTTCCTATAATGCCATTCTCACAAAAGAAGAGCATCCTCATTTCCTCTGAATCATCTCCAGGGATTCTGCACTGTTTTCTGAGCACCAACTAGGCACCCAGTGCTAGGGACAGTTGAAGAAACAGTTCTTCCCACCAAAGGAAGCTACAGGTGTAATGGGAATGTAGACAA